CCATGCCGCCGGCGGGTGACGCCGGAGTAAACACCCAGCAGGATTTTCTCCTCTCCGCCTGGGATGTCATACGGGAGCTCTGACAGTGCCGGAGTCGGGCGATTTGCAAGCTGGTTTTGCAGCTGTGGAGATGAAAAATATATAATACTGTTTCTCAGACACAAACGTTTCCCTTTGACATCCCATTTTCCCTGCGGATGGCCGTGCCAGCTCACGGCTGGGGGGGTGCCCCTCACCTCCCCTGCTCCATTGCCAAGGGGCAAGTGGCCTCAGAGGTGGCCGAGAGGGTGGCAGGGGGTGACATGCAGGCAGGGAAGCGCCGCAGGCAGCGCCATGGCACTGCTCATCCATCCCTGCATCCTCGGCTGCCTCCTCCATCCATCACCTCGCGCCGGTCCTCGTTGGCACACGGGTCTCCATCATCGTGTGGGGCTGAGCCAGGGATGCAGCCCCTTCCCTAAAACCCCTCGGAAGCAGAAGCGGAGCAGGGAAGCAGTGTCCATGCAGCCCGGCTCATCCACGGAGGAGGGAGTGGATCAGCGTTGGACCTTGTCCTACCAAACCGGCTGACGACACCGCAGCCCGGTTTGCGGCAGCGGCTCCTCCGTGCAGCCGGTGGCAGGTGCGGCCAAGGGACGGCTCTGCCTCTGGGTCCGGTCCTTTCTGAAGCAACCATGGCCGGGGTTACGTCATCCCTGGGCAGCCCGAAGGCGGTGGGGATGGAGCCGGGCATGCCGAGGTGGCACGAATCCAGCAGGGCCACGTGCAGTGGGAAGCGCCGTGCCAGACCGCGGCTGCCCGTAGGCTGGGGAAGAGAAAACCCTCCGGTGGGAAGAAGCCACCGAGGCCGGGATGGCATCACCCCATCTCTCACCTTCTCTAAAGGATGCTTTGACAAAAAACATGAGCAGAGGGATGAGAAACCCCTGGTGGGACGAGGCAACAGGCAGTCCCCCCCCCCAGTGCTGGCCAGGGGCAGGCGAGGCCGTTCCCAAATGTCTTGAAGTCGAGCCAAGTGCCTGGTCTTTGACTGTGCTCCCACCACGGGATGAACACGCTTACAGTAATCCCGTGATTTACGGCTGTTTATCCTCTGCTCCTCCTCGGGAGCCGGCTCCAGCGTTACCCCTGCCTTTCTCACCCAGTTTCTTCAGGGGGTTGCCTGAGGCAAAAGCGAGACCAAACGTTTCACCCTAAAAACACGTGAAAGGAGAAGTTTTTTTCAGCACGAGCAGCATCACGTGGAGGGCATTGGCCCAGCTTGGGCTCCTCTGCCCTACTCTGGGTTCATCCTTGAAGAGGGATGAAGAAGGGGCAGGAGGAGCCCATCACCGGGAGACCTCGCACCATTTCACGCTGTCTTTCTCTGCCCACAGCCTCCAGCTTAGGAAGAAACCCCCCGAGCGGCTCCTCAGGGTCAGGTTTATCTCGAGTGCTTTGTCCCACATGGAGTTGGGCGCCATCCCGTTGCTGCTGCGGGTGGCACGTCACCCATCCCTCCGGCAGCCGGGCAGGGAACACGCTTGGATGAACCTCTCCTGGAGCATCTTCCCGCACGGAGCTGGTCCGGGCACTGGCTCCTCAGAGGGTACTTTTGTTCCAGCCGGAGCTGTGGGATCCTTAGGGAGATCCTGGGAGCACCAAAGCCTCTCCATGATCCCCTCTCCTGGGAATTTTATCAGCTGGGGCGGCCGCAACCCTTCAGCCCCCTAATTCAAGGAAGAATGGAGAGGGAGCATCACCCCAGGAGGACCACAAACCTCAGGGTAACACCTCGGGGCAGAACCACCACACCACCCCCTCCATCCCCAGCATCTCTGAGTCCCTGGCAGGCACCAGCCCAGCCACCAGTACCCTCCACCACCTGCATGGTGCCAAACGCGTTGGTCCAAAGGCAAATCGGAGCCTCGCAGCACGTCCGGGCGCAGGAAGAGGCCCTGACCCACCAGCAATCACATTGCCCAGCACTTGAGCAACACCCAGCAAACCCCTAAATCCTGAAGTTCTGCTTTTGCAATTTTTTTAACCGTGGGCGCCTTGCGTGGGGCGAGCCCCATCCTCAAGTGACGCACGGTGCCTCGTGCTCGGAGACCATCAAAGTTCGCCGAAGCCGGATGTTTTCCCCCGAAAGGCGCCAGCCGTGGAAGTCGGAGATTTACAGTCCAGCACCAGCCATAAAACTTGTGTTTTAAAGAGCAGCGGTCGCGAATGCCCAGTGACCTGTTATGAAATGTCCCAGCGTGTCCTCACCAGCCTGCAAGACGCAATTGCACAGCCGCAGCCCCGCGTGTAAACAGCATCCCACGTCTCCTCCGGTCCTTGCTGGGCCGATAGCGTGTCATCTTTTGCCATCAGAAGGTCGGATTTATCCGCCTCTCCCCAGCAGGATGCAGGTTCCTCTCCGGATCCATCCCACATACGTCCCTCGCCGAGGTGTGACTGCAGCGCGGCTCTCACCTACCTGGCATGGACCTGGAGCAGCTCTTGGCCATGGGGCTGCTGGTGGCCGGGGAATCCCGCACCTCGGAGGGGCCAAGAGAAGGGCTGAGGGTGAGGAGGAGCTGATGCCCCGGTGCCATCGCTCCTCCGCATGCAGCGAGAGGGAGAGAAAGTGGGAGTTTTAGTGATTAAGGCATGGCGTGGAGGCCAGCAGCTGGAAAAGCTGTTAGTAAGTCCAGCGAAAGCTCAGAGCCCGCAGTGCTGCGCCCGGAAAGATGTAAATAGTCTTTTCACCTTCTCTCCATCTCCAGACACGAGGTGGTCGTGCAGGCAGCACGGTGGGGGACACGGCAGATGCTTGCTGCCACCCCCAGAGCCACCCGCGGCTCCCAGCTGAGCCAGCACCCGAGAAAGAAGCCACGTTATAAACCCTGAGATTAAACACCAAAAGAAACGAGAAGGGGAACATGGAGATTAGTCACTTCCCCGTGAAACGCAAGCTGGCCACAGCCTTGAACTTGAACCGACTGGAGCAGGGCTCAGGGAGGGAGCGGAGAAGCTCCCGGCGCCGTGCAAGTCCCAAACCGGCCACGCGCAACCGGGGCTTCGTGGCTCCTCGACGTGGCTGTGCCCGGTGGGGTGGCCCCACTCTGCTCCCCCCGGCCCAGCTGATGGGAGGTTGATGGGGGTGAGCGCAGACAAGGGGGTTCTGGAGGGCTTCCCTTTCCCAAAAACTGCAAAACTTCCCCATGGCCGCTCGCCCATGCATGCTTACAGAAACATCAGTCATTTTTGCAGCGCTTGTTATCGTGAGCAGCGGGAGGGGAAGTGCTGCCCTCCAGATTTTAGGTCTATCGGTTCTTTGTGGTTGCTGAGCAAGTGGCTCCTGAAAAGGTGTCGAGAGCCTTCGACAAAAGCCAGAGCCCCCACGAGAACCGGCACGCATCAGCCCCGGGGAATGACAGAACCACGTTACAGCATCCCATCACCCAGAGCATCCCACCACCAGGCAAACGGTGTTGGTCTGGGGCTGCTCCCCGTGACCTACGAGACCTCCCCTGCTCCCCGAAACCACTCCGGTTGAGCAAGTCGGGTGCTGGAGGGGGGATGTTTTCAGCAAGTGAGGTAGATAATACTTTCCCATGGTGTATTTTTCAGCCAAGGGCTAAGAAGGGAAGAGCAGCAAAGGCTTCCCGTATCTGCTGCCACCACGTGAAGCTCTGAGCAGCCCTTAGGGCTCAGTCTCTAGGGAAGTTGGTGGCTGGAGGCAGCTTCAGCTCTTCCAGGAGTAATTCAGAGTAAGTAAAGCCTCAGTGGAGGGGAGGAACCCAACCAACCTCTGAGGTGGTCCATCAGTCACGTCATGGCCAGGGTTTGCTTCATCCCATCTCGTTCCAGGTCTGGAAATAGGCACAGAGGGATGGGAGAGGGAGGGCTCTCCCTCCACTGCCAGCGTGGGATGTTTGGGAAGCCGCATCCCGTGTTTTCCCAGCGCTGGCCGCTGTCATGATGAATCGGCAGAGTGGAAGCTGTCTTGACCTTTAGACGTTTCTAAATAAAAAACAAACAGGATGGGTCAGGTGAGCAAAAACGCAGCTTTTGCCCCATCGTGGTGGGAATCACATTTTTTTTTTTTCCCCCCTTTCCTGCAAGTTTACAGCATCTGCCAAAAATGAGACTTCTGCCCCACTTGGACAAAGACGCTTCTGCCTTGACTGCACCCGTGGTCAACGATTAACTGGGATTCCCAGCCCCCTCGGCCCCGGCAGCGCAGGATATTACTCCAATCTGACCACCAAAAATGGAAATCTCGCTTGAGAGATCCTCACTGGCCGCCCCAACCACCTTCCTCACAGCGATGCTTTCAGCACAAGGACGTTCTCCGCTTGCAACGAGTGTCTTTTCTGGAACGGACTGCCCGGACAGATGGATTTATAGGTATGGTCTGTCCTCCGGCCAGGGTGCTTTACAGCCTGCACGGGCATTTGTCCTTCGGCAGGCGTAAATATGGTATAACGCCTCAAGAACATCGTCTGCACGAGGAGCAGGCAACAAGCTCAGCCCGGGCAAGGTCGGAGCGATGGTTATTGAGAAGCAGATTGAAAAAGAAGCTTTTCCACGGTTTGAGCCTCTTTCTGTTCAAAGGGGGACGCGTCTCGCCCCTCCGATGTGCCAAAACAGCCCTTCACCCCCATTTTTAGTGTAGACCCAGGAGGTACCCCCAGGCTGAGGCTTTCGGGAGCATCGTGCTCCCTCGGGACGGCGGCGCTGAGCCCAGAAGCGAAGCACAAGGCAGCAGCAGAGCGAAAGTTGCGGCTCTAACCGGGGACCCGCCTTCGTGCCGGCTCCAAGCCATGCTCAGGAGG